ATTTTTTTACACTTTCATTCATTTTTTTCTCATAAAAACCTTAGATTCTCTTTCAATCAGAAAAAGACAACATATGCAATATTTGCAAAAAGAGGGTGCAAAGTAGAATATTTGACAAGGCCCCTCTGTGACTAGAAGGAATTCACCCCCTGATTCTCCTGGCCCTCAGAGGATTCTTCCTTCTTCTAACATCTTCCTTATCCTGCTCTCTCTGTATTTAGAGACTTAGCAGTTCCTCTACTGCCAGGCTTCTCCTCATGACTGTCTGCTGGAGAAATGACCTGCGTACACTACACCGCATATCCAGTTGGACTAAGGAGGCTCTCTCTTGATCAAAGAATAAAGTGACAGTTATTCGTGCTAACAGTCCGTCTTAACGGTGCACCTTGGTTGTGCATTTTGGGTAAACCATACAGACTAGGCGTGGTCTCCCCATGGTACAGACTGTGGTACAGAATACGGAATACTTTTAAATATACGGGGTCATGAAATAAAAAAATAAAAACAATATTATAAAACAAATCCTGGCCAAGTTTCATGAAATCAGTCTTGAAACTGACTGGTGTAATGAGAATCAAAAACAAGACGTAAGCAGAATGTTCACGTTCGTCCCTGAAGGAGCTAAATATTTTGAAACATGAAATGTTGAAATAGCGCAAACATTGTGGAACAAGTTAAATGCCAAAAGCTGTATGGTAAAATGCTTCCATCCACCTTTACTACCCTGCCCTGCTTTTTGTCTTCTTCCAGCCATCCTCAGTGAGTGGTCAGAGTGGACTCCCTGCTCCCCCTGCAGACCCTCTGAGCAGCTCAGTACTTCATTTGAAGGGGTCACCCATGGTACTAAATGGGTCTCAGTCCAGAAACGTTTTCGAGCCTGCTTGGACCTGGATTCTGGTTTGCCTGTCTTGAGAGAGGAGGACACCCAATGTTCAGGACCACTGGAAGAGGAGAGGTTCTGTCCAGATACTAATATCTGCAGAGGTAAATGACATTTTACTAAGAGGGAAAAAAATGTCATTTTTATTATAGTCCAATAAATTCTGCCACTTTATGTCTCCAGTCATAGTTTTTATTTTATTCCATAGCAAGTAAAATGTGTGAGTGGAGGAGCTTTGCTCTGTTCCATTTTTCCTCTCTGCTGCAGCAGTTTGACACTTAGCTGACATAAAAAGATTGTATGTAGATGTTTCAGGAATCCTGTCAGAATTTGACGAGTAAGGCTCACTGAAAAATATAAATGTCTACTGAGCTGCAGGGTTGATTGCTGTGATGAAGTCACTGGCATGTTTCTTTCATGAGAGAAGTATTGCATGAACACAGGCGTATAACAGAGATTTGACAGCTCTTTTCAACAACAAAACAGTTTACAGTGTAGAGTGAAATTCTTATTGCAGACGGTAACTCAGTGTGCTAAGAACTAAAAACCAAGTCCAGATGATCAAGACAGATAAAATGTAAAACTACATTAATTCAAGGTTTTTATTTTTTCTAAACAATGTTT